TAATTTCTGTCCTCAAATACTCACCTTTTACTTGTTCCATACCCTTATGAAGTTCTTTCTTCTGTTAAATACAAAATACGATATTTGAAGAAAGCTAAAACCTGTAACCATTGACTTACATAGTGTTTTTTTTTACTATGGAAGTCAATGGTTACAGGTTTTAATGGTTACAAGCATCTTCTTTTATGTTCAGCAGAAGAATAAAACTCAAAAAGATTTGAGATGGGCGAATGAGTTTGGATGTTCTCCCCGAGTTCGCATGGGTTTCCTCAGGGTGCTCCTGTTTCCCCCACAGTCCAAAGACATGCGGTACAGGTGAATTGGGTGGGCTAAATTGTCCGTAGTGTATGAATGTGTGTGTGAATGTGTGTGTGGATGATTCCCAGAGATGGGTTGCGGCTGGAAGGGCATCCGCTGTGTAAAAATTTGCTGGATAAGTTGCCGGTTCATTCCACTGTGGGGACCCCGGATCAATAAAGGGACTGAGCCGACCAGAAAATGTATGAATGAATGAAGATTTGAGACTACATGGGGTGAATGCTCATTTTTGAGTGAACTATCCTTTTAACACCACACATGATTTCACAATAATTAATAATAATTAATAATGCACATAATTAAAGTCAATAAGTCGAGCACAAACGGTTCAAGAAAATGCAGTCAACTTTAATACTCACTATAGAAGGTTGTTTGTTCAAAGACTCACACTAGGTACAGTTGCCTCGAACCGGGCCAAAGCACGCTTGTCCCCCCCCTCGTCTCCCCCCCCCCCGCCCGCACTCACACCAAAATCGGGCCTCGACACGCTTACGTCATCGCTGCTGCGCTGTTCAGTGAGAAGCGCTCTCTCACTCAGCAGCACAGTGGAGATTTCTCTAGTTATATCGTTTCAGTCGTTTGTTATGCCGTCAAATATTTCGCCAAACGGTCCTTAGGGATGCGGGGACACGCAGTCAGATATTTCGCCGAACAGATCCGCCACTTTTGCCGCTCATAATCATAAAGCTCTCGTGCTGCAGGAATGAGGAGGTCTGCTGAAGGTGTGCAGCTGTCGTGCATTGAGAGGTTTGCGTCTTTAATAAACTACGGCAGTTTGCATTCACTGAACAGTAAGAATGATTAATAAATCCATATACTGTAAAACAGTCCCTTAAATTTCACGTCTCGCTTTCAGTTTCAAAGCCCAAATGAACCGTGCTCAGGCCCACCTCTTCCAACCGGGCCAGGGCTGGCCAAGTGAACCATGCTTGAGCCCGATTCAGCGCACTCACACTTCTCAAAAGATACCGAGCCTGGGCACGGTACGGATGGCATAGTGTGAGTAGGCCCTCAGTGAAGAAGATCTGCTGAAGTTGAAATGGAGGGAGAAAGTGATGTAAGTGATTTTGAACAAGCCATGGTTGTTGGCGCCAGCCGGGCTGGTTTAAACATTTCATCTGATCTACTGGGAATTTCAAACTACTATTTCTAGACTCTGCAAAGATTGGTCTGAAAAATAAAAAAACACCTTGTGAGCAGCAAGTCTGTGGGTGAAAATGTCGTGTTGATGCCCGAGGTCAGGGGAGAATGACCAGACTAGTTTGAGCTGATGGAAAAACAACAGTAATGGAAATAACCAGGAGAGCATCTCTGAACACACAACACGGCAAACCCTGAAGCAGATGAGCTCCAGGAGGACAATAAGAAGAGCAGATTGATGACTCTCCTGTCAGAAAACACAAGATTTCAATTCACACAGACTCACCAAAACTGGACTATAGCAGATAGGGGAACGGTCGCCTGTGAGATGAGCCTTCATTTCTGCTGCAGCATTTGGATGGGAGAGTCAGAATTAGGCAGAAACATCTTGGATTCAGCCCTGTATATTTTTATAATGGTTTCTTTTCTTATAACATATTTAAACACTACAATCGACCTGAGTATTGCAGCTGACCATGTGCTGACCCTTTATGACCACAGTGGATGATTCTTATAGCAGGATAATGCCTAATGCTACACAGCATAAATTATCCTACTGGTTTCTTGAACAATGAGTTTAGTAAAGTCAGATAGGGTTTTATCCGCCCCCCCCCCCTCTTCTCTTTGCGCGTGTGTGTGATCCTTTATTGACAGCCGCATGTGTGAATCTTGACAGAAAATATGGCGAAAAGTCCTACATGATGGTGATAGTTTGACTGCAGTGTTTACTTCAATAATGCTGCATACTCAATAATATCTGCATACTCCACATGTCTTAATTCCATTTCTGTTTCGTTCAGTTATGATTTCAGTCGGGTTAAGGCGATCAAAAATCACTGTTTGGAGCTTATGTAGGCCTACAGTTCAAAATTCATGTTTTCCTGACTAAACAGTTAGTAAACACAAGTACATCTTATTGAACATCATTTATTTTCATCACCAATTATAATAGTAGAACAGTTTCTCAAGCAGTTTGTGAGGCATTTTGAAAACAGGAGATGAGCCCCTGGTCTAATGCGCTACCTGGTTTGAGAATCCCGTTCTCAAAGACTTATTATTCGGGTAGCACACATATTCTGAATGCCTTTGGCAGAATTAAAATAAGCCATTTTAATCCAGATTAATCTAGATTAATTCCAAGATTACAGTGAGATCAATCTAGATGAAACAATTTAGTATATGCCCACCTATGATATCTGTTCTGAAGACAGTCGAAAATAATGTTGCTTAAGAGAAGGTTGCTAATAATATTGACCCTAAAATGGTTTTAAAAATATTCAAAACTCCTTTTATTTTAGCCGAAATAAAACAAATCAGACCTTTTCCAGCTTAAAAAATATTATAGGCAATACTGTGAAAAATTATTTTCTCTGTAAAATATAATTTGGGAAATATTTCAAAAAGAAAAGATTCACAGGAGAGCGAACTATTTTGACTTTAACTGTATTGATATTATTTTTATTGCATTTTATGTTTACATTTATACAACAAAAACTCAGTATTGTATATTATGGTACATTATGACCTCTCTACATATTCTTCAATCCACACCTTTTCAACTCCACCACATTTTAGGAACAATTAGATTGATCGCCCAAATCAGTTAGACCTTGTGGCATTAAAACAAAAGCCTTGCATTTATCTCTGAATAACTCAAATTACTGTTGATTCAGTCCAGTAGCAGTGTCAGTGTGAGCAGTGATGCATGCCTTGCAAAACATTACAAATTGGAGCATGAATGAAACGGACAGAATGAGAGAGAGAGGGTAACATGAGAAGGGGGAGAAATAGTGTTGGATGTTGATGCAAGGGTTTAATAGCTGCAAGTCCATCTTCGATTCTGTTACACACACACTCACACACACACACACACACACACACACACACACACACACACACACACACACATATACATGCATATGCATCCCGCCTTCCTGCTGTGTCTCATCCTTTCCCATCCCACTCTCTCTCTCACCCAATTTGATTTAATTCAGTTCAGTTCAATTCAATTCAATTCAATTCAATTCAATTCAATTCAATTCAATTCAATTTAATTTCATTCAATTCAATTCAATTCAATTTAATTAAATTCAATCATAACTAATCCAATCCAGTTCAATTCAGTTCAGTTCAATTCAACTCAATTCAGTTACATTAAATTAAATTAATTTCAATTCAATTCAATTCTATCCAGTCGAATCTAATGCAATTAAATCCAGTTCAGTTCAATTCTATTCAATTCAGTTTAGTCCGAACCAATCAAATCCAACCAAATCTGATTCAATTCAATTCAGTTGGGTCAATAATTGCTTTATTGCTTTATTTACAAATGTATTGACAAAGCATGTATAAAGCTTACTTTACTTTTAGCCCCCCTTATTATTTTTTACCCCAATTTCTGTTTAATGGAGAGCAGATTTTTTTTCAAAACATTTCTAATCATAATAGTTGTAATAACTCATCAATAATTACTGATTAATTTTATCTTTGCCATGATGACAGTAAATAATATTAGACTATATATTTTTCAAGACACTTCTATACAGCTTAAAGTGACATTTAAAGGCTTAACTAGGTTAATAAGGTGAACTATTCCTTATATATATATATATGTGTGTGTGTGTGTGTGTGTGTGTGTGTGTGTGTGTGTGTGTGTGTGTGTGTGTGTGAAAAATTCCTTGCTCTGTTAAACATAGTTTGGGAAACATTTAAAAAAGAAAAACGAAAAACTCGACTTCAACAATGTATGTGTGTGTATCTCTCTCTCTCTCTCTCTCTCTCAATTTAATTTCAATTCAGTTAATTTAAATTTAAATGAATTCAGTACAGTTCAATTAAATTCAATAACTGCTTTATTTACAAATGTATTGCCAAAGCATTTATAAAGTTTACAATAAAAAAAGAACATAATATATATATTTAATTTTTATTTAATGTGTATATTTTATGTTCAGTCCACATAAATTTGTTAAAAGGGTTAAGTTAACTTAATTTGTGTTGGGACAACATGAATGAAGTGTATGGAACCCTGCATTATTTACAGTGTAAATGGTTATATATATATATATATATATATATATATATATATATATATATATATATATATATATATATATATATATATATATATATATATATTTGTAAAAAAGGAAAATGCACACACACACACACACACACACACACACACACACACACACACACACACACATACGGTATATTCTTCCCACCTTCTGTGTCTCTCATCCTTTTCCCATCCTATCCCCTTTCTCTTTCCTTCTCGCTCACTCAATTTGATTCAGTTCAATAATTGCATTATTTACAAATGTATTTCCAAAGGATTTACAAAAAAAAACTCATATTTAAAAAAACATAGTAAACACAGTAAATTGTAGTAACAAATTTAATAAATGAAACCATAAATGCAAAAATAATAAATAAAAAAGAAACATGCACATGCACACACACACATACATTCATCTCGCCTTCCTGCTGTGTGTCTCATCCTTTCCCATCCTCCCCTCTCTCTCTCTCTCTTTCTCTCTCTCATCACGTGTTCAGGTCTGTGAATCGCAGCAGCAGCTTTGTGCGTCTCTTTCTGTGTGAGCGAGAGAGAGGCTCAGGGCTGCACTCCTCCAAGGGCTTCTCGTACTCTCTCTCAGCACACAATCACACGCACAGACACACGCGCGCGCGTCCCGTGCATCCAGACAGAGGGCTTTCACCATCCCAGACACGGCGTCTGCTGCCCGGCGGAGCGCTGACACTTCCGTCTGGGGGGATTTTTACCGTGATTTGCAACAGCATGCGCCCGCCGAGGAACACTTGATCCCAAGGTTGAGCCGAGCGCAGCTAATGCAGCAGGAGACGAGGAGGAATGGATCACAGAGAGCGAAGGATGAACGCTTTCCCCATCGTCATTGGAGGATGCTCCGCGCTCCACAGCAGGACGTGTTAGAGTTCGGTGGATGCTAGTGGTTGTGTTCTGCGCGCTGGTCAGAGAGGGTACGTGCAAACTACTAAGTTAAGCTGTTGCATTCTGAACCCTGAGTCGCATCTGATGCATCGTGCATGCATGCATCACTTTCAAACCCTCGCTGTCATGTAGACTTTGTGCCTTGTTCTGGGAAAGCGGGTGGATGGGGGCGACCGTCCGATGCTTTCTCTCGCTGATCAACATCTGGTGGCATGTTCTCCAGGCTCAGTGATGATTGAAGCGCTCGTCGGATTAACATCGAGAGAGCTTTCTAATTCCCCAAGCACTGATGTGTTGCATCTCTCGGATGGAGCTTGCACCGAGAGGGAGAGCGCTTGTTTTAATGCATGCATTGCAAGGCAGCTGATGTAATCTGACATCAAGCGTATTTTTTTAATGGTGTGCATGTGAAGATTTTAAAATGCATGCATGTTTAGGATTGGAAACGCATGCATATGTGGGTTTTGGAAGCGTATGTGCACACTGATCTGTGCATGGAGAGGGTTTGTGGAGTAATGACTGAATGTGAGATGAGCAGCCGATTGTAATTGTGTTAGTGGGTGGGGCTCTCTCTCTCCCTCTGTGTCTCTCTCTCTCTCTCATCCCTCTTTCTCTCTATCTTAAATATGTATCAGGAGGGCTGAGGTTGTCAGTGGAGTGTCTGCATGTGAGGTATGGGGGTCAGAGAGCTGCGTCTGCATCAGATCAATAATCCATGTCTTTTGCATCTCAAGCTCACCGACGACCACACATGAGAACGGGCTCTTCCTCGGGGCGGCAGAGAGAGCGGCTAATGAGCTGCCCGTCTTTGAGGCATTGCACAACACGCTGTCAAGCGCAATAATTCGGAGCAGCTACATAATACATGAACTAAACTAATAACTGCCTGGGAAAATAACTGCACGCTGCTCACATGGCGCGTTCAGCGAGGAGCAGTTTCACGTACAGTTTGGATTGTGTATAAGAAGCTGCGCTTTTGGAACTAAAACATTTAGATGAGTTAACACACTTCAGAATGTGTCGTTTTGTCTTGTTTATTAATACAATTATTGGAAATTCCTATATCAAGGCGCATTTATTTAAAGCGATAGTACACCGAAAAATGAAAATCTACAAGCTAGTTACTCTCCCTCGAGTGTTTCCAATCATTTAAGAGTTTCTTTAGTCTGTTTAACACAAAAGAAGATATTTTGATAAATGCTGGAAACCTGGAACCGCTTACATTGAAGTCAATCTAATTCATGTTTATTTCTATACAGCACTTTTACAATGTAGATTGGGTCAAAGCAGCTTAACGTAGATGTTCTAGTAAACTGAAACTGTGTCAGTCCAGTTTTCAGAGTTGAAGTTTAGTTCAGTTTAGTGTCATTTTCAGTGCTGAAAGTCCAAACACTGAAGAGCAAATCCATCCATGCAAAGCTCCACAAGTCCCAGACCATGCAAGCTAGTGGCGACAATGGAGGAACAAACCTTACCAATTGATAGAAGTGAAGGAACAAAAACATTGAGGGAAACCAGGATCAGATGGGCACGACCGTTTCTCCTTGGGCCAGAAGTACTATGGAAGTCAATGGTTACAGGTGTCAGCTTTGTTTAAAATATCTTATTTTGTGTTTAACAGAATAAAGAAACTCATATAGGTTGTAAACGATTAAAAGGTGAGTAAATAATGACAGAGTTTTTCTTTATTGGGTGAACTATCCCTTTAAGATATCTATTTTTTGGAAATAAGCATACAAAAAGGTTTGCCAATAAAGTAATCTTGCTTTTCTTCTTGAATGGATGTTTCTCTGGCCCCATTGGCAGACATTTGTTCTTGTCCTAAGCAAAAATCTGCTTCATTTTGATCAATATTTCAGAGAACGAGATGTAAACACACTTCAAAATATGCAATTTTGTTTTGTTTTATAATACAATTATTTTAATTCTTATATCAAGGTGCATTTATTTAACGCGGTAGCTCACCCAAAAATGAAAATCTACCAACTAGTTACTCTCCCTCGAGTGTTTCTAAATCATTAAAGAGTTTCTTTATTCTGTTGAACACAAAAGAAGATATTTTGAAGAATGCTGGAAACCTTTAACCATTGACTTACATAGTAGTCAGTCAATTTCATTCATATTTTTTTCTACAGCACTTTAACAATGTAGATTGTGTCAAAGCAGCTCAACATAGATGTTCTAGTAAACTGAAACAGTGTCAGTCCAGTTTTCAGAGTTGAAGTTTAGTTCAGTTTAGTGTCATTTTCAGTGCTGAAAGTCCAAACACTGAAAAGCAAATCCATTGATGCACAGCTCCACAAGTCCCAGACCATGCAAGCCAGTGGAGACAATGGAGGAACAAACCTTACCAATTGACGAAAGTGAAGGAACAAAAACATTGAGGGAAACCAGGCTCAGATGGGCACGACCGTTTCTCCTTGGGCCAAAAGTACTATGGAAGTCAATGGTTACAGGTTTCAGCTTTCTTTGAAATGTCTTATTTTATGTTTAACAGAAAAAAAGAAGTTCATATAGGTTGTAAACGATTAAAACGTGAGTAAATAATTCTTTATTGGGTGAACTATCCCTTTAAGATATCTATTTTTTGGAAATAAGCATCCAAAAAGGTTTGCCAATAAAGTAATCTTGCTTTCCCTCTTGAATGAATGTTTCTCTGGCCCCATTGGCAGACATTTGTTCTTGTCCTAAGCAAAAATCTACTTTATTTTGATAAATATTTTAGAGAACGAGATGTAAACACACTTTAAAATATGCAATTTAGTTTCGTTTTAAAATACAATTATTGGAAATTCCTATATCAAGGTGCATTTATTTAACGCAATAGCTCACCCAAAAAGTAAAATCTACCAACTAGTTACTCTCCCTCGAGTGTTTCTAAATCATTTAAGAGTTTCTTTATTCTGTTGAACACAAGAGAAGATATTTTGAAGAATGCTGGAAATCTGTAACCATTGACTTACATAGTTGTAGTCATATTCAATTCATCTTTGTTTCTATAGTGCTTTAACAGTGTAGATTGTGTCAAAGCAGCTTAACATAGATGTTCTAGTAAACTGAAACAGTGTCCGTCCAGTTTTCAGAGTTGAAGTTCAGTTTAGTTCAGTTCAGTGTGGTTTAATATTCACTGCTAAAATTTCAAACACTGAAGAGCAATTCCATCCATGCACAGCTCTACAAGTCTCAGTCTGTGCAAGCCAGTGGCGACAATGGAGGAACAAACCTTACCAATTGACGAAAGTGAAGGAACAAAAACGTTGAGAGAAACCAGGCTTAATTGGGCACGACTGTTTCTCCTCTGGCCAAAAATACTGTGGATGTCAATGGATACAGGTTTTGAGCTTTCTTTAAAATGTCTTATTTTGTGTTTAACCGACTGAGAAAAGAGTTTTACTTCTTTGGGTGAACTTTCCCTTTAAGAAAGGAATTCTTTTGAAATAAGCACCCAGAAAGGTTTGCCAATAGGGTTGAAAAGTAATCTTGCTTTCCCTCTTGAATGGATGTTTCTCTGGCCCCATTGGCAGATATTTGTTCTTGCCCTAAGCAAAAACGTACTTCATTTTGATCAATATTTCAGAGAAAATGATGTAAATCTTACGTCAGTTTGGATCTCAAGTAAATGTGTCTTGATTTAAGAACGTTTCGATTTCTGTAATGGACAAGACAAAAATACAGAGGGGGGGAAACACTTTTTTTGGCACACCCAACAATATAGAGCTGTAAAAATGATTTGTTGAGATATGTTCATATATGAGTTCATATTGAAATATGACTCTTGATTAAAAACTTTGGGCATTTCTTAGAGCAGATAAAACACACGACGAACGACAAGCGACAGACCAGAAGTCATTCATTTCCAATGGAGAGTAGTCCGGGAGCAGTGTGGAGTTCTGTATGCGGAAAATTCGTATCCGAATTGACAACCCAGGCTCATTCTGAGGCCGCGGAATACGTCCCGGGAGGTACGTACGGCTGCAGTTTTTGTTTTTGTAAATCCGCGAGAGGCGATTTTTTGCATCTCAAACGCCTCTCTGTTCTTGCGTGAACCCACTAGAGGCCGCTGTCCGACTGACCGGATGATTGACTGCGCGACTGGCCAATCGGCTGACCCGCCCTCCTCCTTCCCTAAACCCAACCAATTTTACCGATTGACCCACCCGCCCGCTCACTTCCCTAAACCCGACCACCAATTTACAAAAGCCGTTCAAAAAAAGAAAAGCCCTGATTTTTTTTTTTTACCACGTTTTCGGATTTCACCACATTCTCACCCTGTTATGAAACTCGTTCACTTAATTTTTGGGATTCTGTTTTTGTCTTACCTGATTTCTGGAACCGCTCTTCCCCGGAGTCGAAACTGATCGTCGTGGTCAACTCCTCTCTGCATCTCGAGCCTGCCGACGTACACGATGAGCTGAGTGGACAAACGGGTTGCAGCGGGAAAGCCCTCCACACGGAGGTAAGCGGTCGGCCGGCAAGCGCGAAAGGGAACAGCGTCACACCGCCACCTAGAGTTCGCTTGAAAAAAATAAATGCAGCCATACGTACCTCCCGGGACGTATTCCGCTGTCTCCAGAAACGTCCGCGGGACTACGTTTTCAGAATGAGCTTGGGTTGCGAATTGAGTTGCGGATCCGTTGAAATATTTGAACTCCTGTGATGTATTCCAGTGTTGTTCAAGCAGTTCCGTGCACGCGAGATGAGAAATAGGAGTTTATTTGGTTATTTTTTTGAATCAGAAAAAGTCTATATTAAAAAATTCATTTCTATTTATAAATGTAAGTAATAAAGTAATACAATTTTATGATTTATGTTGTCTCCACATTCCCTGCAATATTTTTAGCAGTCTGAGTTTCTAGTATTCATTCATTCATTCAACCACAGAAAATTGCTTTTGCACTCCTTTACTCCTCCATGGTGCACGTCAGAACTGAAAATTCTATGCGACTGCCACAAGGGGGCGTTTTCCGACATTCATTCATTCATTCATTTTCTTGTCGGCTCAGTCCCTTTATTAATCCAGGGTCACCAC